ACTCTATGGTAAGACATCCGTTTTAGAGCAATAGGTCATGGGACACCAAGGACCAACATTCAAACTGAGGAAATGCAGGACAAACAGGAGTGCAAAATTATGAGGGGCATAGGGGGAGTGTTGCAGGATAGGGAGGGGAGGAGACTGGGTTAGGGTTGGACATGGTGAATGGGGAACGAAACTAAATGTATGCATTACGTTGAATATAAAATAAGCTCTTAAAAAAAAAAAAAGACAGGTGCATGATTGGAATGTTTGAAAAACAGCAAGTCTAGAGAAGCAGTGTGGAAGGATAAAAGAAGGGGAATTGAACACAGAAGAGGGCCAGTCCTTCTGAGACTTTAGGCCACTGTTGGTTTTTACACAAAATGAAGTGGTCACCCATTGACTAATTTTTGGCAAAGTAAAATAATTTGACTGACATTCCAGAAGGCTCTGTTGGGCCCTATTTGAAGAATAGACTATGGATGTCTAAGTGTACCCCACAGTTCAGAAATCCTGTCAAGAGATAATGGTAGCTCAGGCAGAGTGTGAATGTATTTTGCATGCTAAGTTAATAAAATGCCCTAGTATATAGAATCAGAAGTATGCGAGAGACATACCAAGGATGATTTCAAGTCTTTTGGCTTAAGCAACTGAAAGAACAGAATTGTTTTCAATTGATGGATAATTCATTATTGTATAGAAAGATTCAGTTCAGTTTTTGACATGTTAAGGTTAACCTTCTATTGGATCTTGTTTCAACTACCTATTTCTGGGCAACTAACCACACCTAACTCAGAGGCTCAAAACAACGTTTATTTTGTTTATGAATTTGAAATTTGGGCAATCCTCTACAGGAATACCTCTTCTAGTCTCCATATACATTGAGGTGCCATTGGATCTGTGATAACATTATGGCTGGGGGACACAAATAATTTGAAGGCTCAGTCACTCAACATGTCTGGCAATTGGTGCTGGCCATCAAGTGGCCTTACTATGGTGGTCATCTAGTAAACCTACATGTGCAGTGTCCATGTAGCTGTCTAGCTGCCTTAAAGCACAGTTACTGGCTTACTCAGATTCAAGTGTAGGGAAGGACTCCACGGAGAAGTGTTAATGTCACACTATAAGAAGAGCATGTAGAATGGTAGATATTTTTATAGTCAACTTAGAAAATATAATCTACCACAGGCCTGCCAATGAAAATGTTGATTTCTGGGGATAAATATTTTGGAGTATTTTAACAATTAAGTATATTAAGTATACTTAATTAAGTATATTTTAACAATTAAGTATATTAAGACCACCACATAACTGGTCAGTGAAAAATAATGATTAAAAGAGTTATTTTTCTTCTGACTCATATTGTCTCTTTGAAATCCATGCCCCAAGACTTTCCCTTATAGTGTAAACATTTTGTTCAGTTACCCAGTGTATATTGCTTGATCTGGCACCTGGTATTTTCCTTAGGTGAATCATAACTTGTATAACTAAGTCAATATAATTTCCTCTGCTTGACTATTTACTGACCTACGGATGGCTATGTAACCACTACAGGCTAACAAGCTACAAAAAAGCAAAAGGACTACTGCTATGTGTTTTCTCTTCTCAAATGAAACAATCAAGCCTACTGGCCTTTCTCTTCATAATTAAAAAAATTAAATCCAACAGAACATGATTTGGGTCCTGGTCAATTCTAGGTCCCATTGTGACACTTAAAAATTTTGAGATATGATAGTGGATAAATATTCCATGAAAAATTAAAACAATTCAGCCTAGTAAGGAAAAAGTGTTTTGTGCTATCCTTATTTTTCCTTCTTTAAATGCAGATGTGCTGCCTAATGATATGTCAAGCATGTTGCAGCAATGGGGCAATTGGACCAAATGTAAGGACAGTATGTAACCTGGCTAAGATGGTGATTCAGAGAGCTGAAAGTATGGTGGAACAATTGAATCTTTACTGGTATTTCCAGACTTCTTTTTGCATGAAAACTAGAAAGCTCCTTTCTATTAATACATGGTAGCTAAACTGTTTTTTTTATGTCCAAGAGTATTTGTAACAAATACACCCTTTTCAATTTTTATATTCTAACCTTAGTTTTGCTTTTAAGGGTAAAAATTTTTTTTTTTTGCATTATGTCTATTATATTAACTTTACTTGTTCTCTTTTTCAGTATATTAATATTTTGACTTATGTGTATAACATTTGGCAAGAAAATGAAGCATGTGATAATATTGGAAAGAGTACAAACAACATAGAGTATTTTATAAGAGAGAAAGTTGGAGACTTCCATGAGAGTTTATTTGGTATTTCATATATTAGAGCACTGCTTCATAAACTTGTTTATCTAATACATTTTTTGGGTGCTCAGCACGTGTTCACTTTTCTTCTATTCCAAATGGCACAGGCATATATTAACTGATAATATTTTTTTTTTTAAAAAGCTTTCAACTTGAGTCAATCTAGCAATTTAAAAAACATGGTATACCTTTTCCTTACTTATCAACTATTTTGTTATACAACATTTTGCATTTATAGCAATAGTAAAAAATTTACTATCAAACTATTTTACACACCAGTGGTGCATGTCTGGCAATAAAAATGCTAAGTTTAATACCTAAGGCACTTGACTGCTAATCAGAACGCTGGTGGTTCAAACCCACCAGCCACTTCTCGAAAGGAAGATGGGGCAATCTACTTCCGTAGTGATACTGCCTCGGAAACCCAAGAAGGGGTTGATATGAATCGGGTCTGACTAGATGGCACATAACAACAACAAAGTTATGGGCAAGAGTAACTCTGACTATTATGGTAAAGATTATGTGTCAACTTGGCTGGGCCAGGATTCTCAGTGAATTGGCAGCTATGTAATGTTGTAACTTGGCAGTTATGAAATGATATTGTCATCATTCATTTTGTGATATGATGTGGTCATCCCCATTTTTGCATAACACCAATTATTACATAATGACCTGGTCTTTGGGTCCTAACCACATCAATAAATGAGCAGTGGGTATACTGGGAAGTAATATAAAGTCTTAAAATATAGAATATGTATATATTATTGTTTAAGAGGACAAAAGAGATGAGTTAGGTACTTTTTCTATACCAGCCAATATAGGATAGAGATATATCCTGGGGACAGAAAAATATACAAAACACACCTGCCCCTCTCATCACAGAGTAAAAGTGTAGTAAAGAATAGAAACATTATATAGACTAATGAAAAACATAGTTAGTTAGCAAATAAATACAAATATAATTTCACATAAATTAATAAAAATAAATTATAGCTACTGAGTGCAATGAGGTTATAAAACAGAAAGATCTAACCTAATTGTAAAGTCAAGGACAGGAAAATAAGATTTAGCAAAGTTAGAGCAGAAATAGAAGATTTCAGATACAGGGAAGAGGTTATGTCAAGCAAGGCCAGAAATGGAAGAGGATAGATAATATTTGATAAACTAAGAAAAACACAACATAGATTGATCATGAGAGCAAAGAGATAGAACTAGGATTTGAGACTGAAGAGTTACATATAGAGATTTTAGACTTTGTACAAAAGAAATCCCTGGAAAGATCTGAAAGAAGCAGATTTACTTCAGAAATAAATAAATAGATAAATAAATAAAAATAACAACACTCTAGTCTTTAGTGAGTTTACAAAAGATGTTGAGAATTATTGCAGTGGTATCCACAGTAAGACAGTAGCAGAAAAGAGTGCAAGTGGTAAAGATAACGAGTGGTAGACTGATAGATTTATTTAGAAGAAAAAAACAGCCGAACTTGATGGTAGATGGAATTCATTTCAATTTTAGACATGCAACAGTTTAGATTTCCATGAAATATCCAAATGAATCAGGAAGTTAGGTAGACATATTTATCTGGTACACAAAACAAAAACTTGAGATAGACATGTAGATTTGACAGTCATGGACACATAACATGGAAATTCAAACTTTACAAATAATGGAGAATGGGTTTTCCTATCAAGTGATTGCTTCATTCATTTAGTAAATGACTGAGCATCTATTATAAAAATAGTTTAAAGATAAATTAAGAACGTATAAAGATGTTTTTGACCACATTTGCATTTGCACACCCAGTTAAAGAACTGCATAATATATGTTACTCCCTTAAGTATATACTAAGCTATACATAAGCAGAGTGAAAATAAACTTTTTCTTCTGCTTAGGTAAGATATTTTTATTTCAGGTATTATAGCTAAAGGTAACCATTATTATAGACATCAAGATTTTTTTTTTCAGAACTTAAGAAACCTTACTTAAAGCATAAAAGATATATGTTAATCTTAAAATTACCCTTTCTCTGGGTGCACAGCTATAGATCTTGGTTGATCCAGGCCTTGAGAAATAATTACATAACGGTAAGAACCATTAAGTCTTGCAACTTCAATTAAGTTGAAACCATGATCTGTCCAATATATGTTACCTAGGAGAAATACAAAAGTTGTGAAAATGGAAAATACTTATTAGTTAAGGATAACATTAAATTTCTGAACATTCACATCACTATCAAGAAAGCAACCGTTTATTTCGTAAAGACTTTTTTAATATGTTTATTTTCAAAGCAGAAGGTTGGAAATAAGTTAATACACAAGTACTTTTAATCCTAATGCCACACACCTCTGGTTTAAACATATAATGATACATTGATACATTAAAATAAGCTGAAACTTCTCCTACATGAAGAAGTGATCTATTTTAACTTTGTACTGACTTCAGCCATAAGAGAACTTTTAACATTTTTGTTTACCTGCCTTGTGGAGCTCTCAGGGGATTTGGACAAAGCTAACACTACATAGTCTACTTCTACATAAAAACACTTATCCAAAGGCTCAAAACCATTTAGAAAGAGTGGAGCCCAAAGCAAAAGAGACTATTTACCCCTGTGGCTGGATGTAGGGAAAAAAAATTGTTTTGGCTGGCAAATAGAATTTTTATAAACTAGATTGAGCCCCTAACTAAACAGGTGTAAAACAAAACAAAAAAGTCCATGGGTTATACCAGAAATCCAGTCAATAGCTATCCCTTCCACTCTTCCCAAGCCATTGGTAATGATATCTTCTTTCCAAGTCTGATCTCTTTTAGCTCGGCTAATTTTATTGAAGCCCATGTCTGTCCAGTAGATGGTATCATTTTCTAAGGGTAAGACAAAAATAAAATAGACACATTCTAAAAAAGACATCAATATATGTATTAGGATCATATTGCGTAAGTATTTCTTTTTTTGGTTATCACTGTTGATATGCTGTAGTAGAAATATTATTCTGGATAATTTACTAACATAAGTAGAACGATACTAAAAGTACATTTAAGAATCTGCGTTTTTGTCAAAAGACTTCAAAAGTATTTATCTAAATAATTCATGGAAGTAATCTACTACACCTTTTATTCATCATTTTCCTAGTCATTTTAACTCAATAATTCCTAATTTCCCATGAATTGGCAAACTTGTTATCAAACCAAGTGTTTTAGGACAGGAAAGTTTCATTTCACTCTATTTCTGTGTCTGAGCTCTCTAAATACAAAATAATACTACTAGGGATAATCTAGTCAACAAGTTTCAAAGTAGAGAGAGGAGGCAAAGAAACTTAAGTGTATTCCAACTATGTCAAGGGTGTTTTAAGTATAAGGTCATTCAAACTGTATAAAGCCTTAAAAATGCCTTATCATCCAATTATTCCTTCTGAGCTACTAAATAGTTTCCCAAATGTCAGATACAAACCCCTTACATTATTTTTTACTCTCATTATATGAATGGACTTAAGAATACTGCTTTATACTGTCACAGAGTCCTTAAGTAACAGTGCTTTCTGAATATTTGAATGAAAAATGTGTCTAAAGATTATAAATGAGATAAGCATGCATATGCATAAAGACTAGCAATTATAGACTAGTGATTTTAAATACAGCCACCAGAAAGACACTGGGGACAAATCATGAAATAATAAATTCGCTACTAATGGAGTAAATTTTTGTGTTGTGACCTACATAGCCATTTACAATTTCTCTCTGGCTCAGTGACAGACTATGGAAATAAAGAAAAAGTAATTTGTATAATAAAGCCATTTATTGGTAAGTTTTGGGATTGTTTGAAATGAAATAGTGTTTGAATTCTTTCACCTATCTGGAAAAGATACCAAACAACCCCTGTTCTCAACCACTCTTTAGTCAGATACACAAATATTTGAAGCATAGCAGAGATATCATTTCTAAATATATATGCAACAAGCTTATACTTTGATTTTCTAATTGTGTACAACCATCAATTAATACTTTTTCATATTGCAAGAGGGAATCAATCAACAAAAATATATTAAGCATAGTATGTCCTGTCCAATTCTCTTCTCTGTCAGACCCATAAATTTAATACTTACTTTGCAACTCCACTTGGATGGAAAAAAACAGTCTTCATATACAAAATTCAAATCTGGATTTTCTACCTGAAACACGTTCTTCTTCTTTTTTTTTAATTGTGATTTGGGTGAAAGTTTACAGAGCAAATTCACTTTCCATACAGCAATTCACATACCCTTTGTTTCATGACATTGACTCCAATTTCCCACCATACAACAGCTCTCTTCCCACCTCCTCCCCATAGGTACCTCTTCACTGTGTCCTTCCCTCCCATGCACTCTTGCCCCCTGAGCTGTCTCCCTATGCATACACCTAGCTAATATAAATATTCAGTTCATACGCCTGTCTTTTGTTTGGCTGGAAGCCACAGGAGTGAGTTCAACCCCAGACTTGAAGGGCAGCTAGGGGCCATAGTCTCAGGGATTCCACCAGGCTCTATCAGATCAGCAAACCTGGTCCCTTTTTTTTTTTTTTTTATGATTTTGAGTTTTGTTCCACATTGTTCTCCCACTCTATCCAGGATCTCCTACATAGATCCACCTCTGAGTGATTGACAGTGGTAGCCGGGCATCAGTTCTTCTGGTCTCATAGTCATATAGACTGAGGGTCACATGGTGTACCAGTTGCTTGGACTACTTGTTTTAACAGTTTTCTTCATTCTTCTTTGTTCTGGACGAGGAAAGACCCATCATTGCATCTAAATGGCTGCTTGCCAGCTTTTAAGATCCCAGTCGCTACTCGCCAAAGTAGAATGTGGAACAATGTTTTAGTGTGGTATGAAACATGCTTCTTTTGCTGTCTTAAATAAAATGACATTTTGTTCATGGCAGCTCTCCATGTCATGGTGGTATGGTAAATGTCATCTTTGTGGCCTGGACTGAAAACCTCAGTATTGTCCTTAATCACATTTTTTCACACTCCATAGTCAATCCTACATAAAGTTATCTCACATCTAATCTATCACCAGTATGCTTGGTTCTCAAATTCTTTACTATTAATATTCTAATTAAAGATACTATTATTAATTCTTGCTTGAAGTATTGCAATAGCTTCCTAACTGGTTTCTCAATTTGGTCTTTTGCCCTTGTATATATTAAAATAAGGTGAAACTTCTCCTACATGAAGAAGGGATCTATTTTAACTTTCTACTGACTTCAGGCATAAGGGAACTTTTAATGTTTTTGTTGAATCAGTTCTCCATATAGGTGCTAGTTGTTGCTAGGTACAGTCAAATCAGCTCTGACTCATAGCTACATTATGCACAACAAAATGAAACACTGCTTGGTCCGACACCTTCCTCACAATCCCTGTTGTTTGAACCTATTGTTGCAGCCACTATGTCAATCCATATCATTGAGAATCTTCCCCTTTTTTGCTGACCCTCTGCTTCACCAAACATGATATCCTTCTCCAGGGACCTGTCCCTTCTGACAAAATGACCAAAGTAGGTGAGACAAAATTTACTATACGTAGCATAGTGGCTAAGACACTTGCCTGCTAACCAGACGGCTGGCGGTTCAAACCCACCAGCCACTCCTCGGAAGGAAGGTTGGGCAATCCTACTTCCGTAGTGATACTGCCTCGGAAACCCAAGAAGGGGTCACTATGAGTCAGGTTTGACTCGACGGCACATAACATAACTTTACTTTGAGAAGGCAGCTTTTTCACAGTCATATTTTGTGTGCCTTCCAACCTGAGGGGCTCATCTTCTGGAACTATATCAGACAATGTTTTACTGCTATTCATAAAGTTTCAACAAATATATCAATCTTTCACTGCTGTTCATAAGTTCATTTCTATCTCCAGCCCCCTCAATGACTTCCCATCTTATGCAAGATAAAATCTGTTCTTTCTCATGACCTTCATGATCTGTTATCCACTCCTGAATCCCCTCTTCCCTGAGAGATTTCCCCTCACTCACATCTCTATTCACACTGTTCTTCCTTTTTGTTGTTGTTGTTGTTGTTGTTGTTAGGTGTGGTCAAGTTGGCTCCTACTCTTAGCAACAATATGTACAACAGAATGAAACACTACCCAGTCCTGCACCATCCTCACAATCCTTGCTATGTTTGAGGCCATTGTTGTAGCCACTGTTAATCCATTTCATTGAGGGTCTTCCCCTTTTTCACTAACTTGCTGCTTTATCAAGTATGATATCCTTCTCCAAAGACTTGTCCCTCTGACAAAATAACCTAAGTAAGTGAAGTGAATTCTGGCCATTTTCTCTTCTAAGGAGCATTCTTGCTTCACTTTTTCCAGGTCAGATTTGTTTGTTCTTCTGGCAGTCCATGGTATTTTCAATATTTCTCACCAAGACCACAACTCATAGGCATCAACTCTTCTTTGGTCTTCCTTATTCATCATCTAGCTTTCACATGCATATAAGGCAATGGAAAATATCATGGCTTGGGTCAGGTGCACTTTAGTCTTCAAAGTGACATTTTTGTTCCTCAGCATTTTAAAGAGGTCTTTTGCAATACATTGCTCAGTGAAATACAGCCTGTGATTGATCTCTTGACTGTTGTTTACATGGGTGTTGATTGTGCATCCAAGTAAAATAAAATCCCTGACAACTTCAATCTTTTCTTAATTTGTCATGACATTACTTATTGGTCTATTGGCAAGGACTTTTATTTTCTTTTTGTTGAGGTGTAATCCATATTGAAGACTGTAGTCTTTGATCTTCATCAGTTAGTACTTCAAGTAATCTTCACTTTAACTTTCCTGTTTCTAGAACACACCAAATACTCTTCAGTGTAAATTTTTTTCATATTTCTTTTGTTCTGGAATATTCTTCTCCCAGATATCTGCATAGATTTATTTTAACTATTCATTTGTCAGTAAAGTTTTCCTGCTTTACTGATCGATAAAAACCCAGTATGTTTCATGATCCTTATCTTATCTTGTTTTTCTCCATAATTCTTTTTTTTTTTAAATTGTATTTCTAGTTCCAACTTTTTTTTTTTGACTTAAGACTATCCCATTTTTTTTTAAAATTAATTAATTTATTTTTGTTTGGATGAAGATTTACAGAGCAAATTCACTTTCCATACAGCAGTTCACATATACTTTGTCTCATGTCATTGACCACAGTTTACCACAATGCAAC